TCATTTAACACATACTGATGAACTAAAGGACAATTGGACTTGGTAACATGTAGAGCCTTACACTTTTCCGACTTCAGCTTGACCTTCCACAAGTCACACCAGGAGGCGGCAGACAAGAGGTCATCTTGAAACTCGACACAATCATCTACAGATGCGATCTTACGATAGAGTACACTGTCATCAGCAAAAAGCTCTGTGCTACAGCTTACACTAAGGGGGAAGTCATTTATATACAGCAGGAAAAGAAGTGGCCCTAATATACTCCCTTGAGGAACACCAGAGGACACCTCCATCCATTCTGATGAATGACCTCCAATAATGACTCTTTGTGTACGGTCTGACAGATAGTCATGAAACCAGGAAAACAAATGACCCCGAATGCCATAACACTGCAACTTATAAAGCAAAAATATAAACTTCGCTACTAGGCCTTACTTGTACTTCTCGGAACAAGGTAATGTTGATGATGATGCCACCTTTATTACGATATTTTTGGTTTCATTCAATTTACAGTCTTGCTGCCTCATGCAGTCTGCAGTCTGCAGTCTGCGGTCTGCAGTCTGCAAATGTCATACACCGGAAGACAAGACGGTTGATCCAGCACCTTACATTTTGAAAATATTTACATATTGAGGAGGGGACTAACCGGGGTGCCAGAGGCTTTTCATGGGTTGTCTCCGGTTAATCGGTCAAGTCTTAAAAAGTGAACACGTGTTGGCCTGCGGCCGACGAAACGTAGCCTGTTCCAAGCGTTCAGATAGTGGAGAGCGGTGCGAAGTAAAGAAAGCTAATATATAGATTTAGATAGGGCTAAAAGCGAAGCTCTCGTTAATAATACGTGCAAACAAAAAAAAATTAAATCGTGTAGTGCTAAACGGGGACGACAATGAAAATGGCTTCAAGACTAATAGATCTAATTAGCCAAAAAACAAATTGCACGTGCAGAACATTTTTTCTTCTAATTAGGAAAAAACAAATTTGCACGTGCAGCACGCTTTTTTGTTTTCCCTTGCCGTTGTTTTGCACGACTAAAACACTGTTTTGTATGACTAAAACGTCAAACTTCCTAGTTACACATTATTTTTATGGAGGAATTGTCGTATGTGCTTACCCAATATTTTGTTTCCTGTGTTCATGTTCGCTTTTATTTTTCACTGCTGCTCATTTTCACCTTGCTGGCCGCTAGCATTTCCCATTTTCTCACCGCCGGTTTGAATTTCCATGTTTTTCTTCCTACGAAATTCGTCTCGCTCTAGCTCTTTCTCTGTTATCCACGTTAGTGTAAACAAAAAAAATAACGCCGAAAAAGGCATGACGTTGTTGTTTTTTCTTTCTAAAAGTCCGGGCGGCCATTTGATTTCCTTCCAAATAAAACCTTGAGTTGCATTTGGGTTGCCATACCTGTTGATTGAGTTATTTTAAGTTGGTATGCCTGTGGTACGGACGGACGGTGGCGGGCGGGCGGTCCGTCGGTGTACGGTCACGTGAATACCAAATTTTCCCGGATGGTGTATCTTGGCTATGGGGCTCCGCCCACGCGCGACTCCGCTATGAAAAGTAGAGGGGGACTGGGGAGACAGGTGCGGAAAGCCTCTCTCACCTCTCCTCCTCCCTGGCTTTTATTTTTTTGGCACTCCTTCAAACTTCGCACCGCTCTCCACTATCTGAACGCCTGGAACAGGCTAACGAAACGAAGCTCCCCCGACGCACGCGGGTAGGAGGGGACAAGACAAGAGAGGATATCCTAACATGGGACGGAACCAGGCGTCACTGGGGTAGACTGTGAGCAGTCTCTTTTTTTTCTTTGCAAAGTTACTACACGCAAAACCAAAGCACGCGAGCGTAGGCCCGAGAAGAAAAAGAAGAAAAAAAAAATAAGACATTGCTGACTCTTGTTCTGTCTGGGGACAACGAAGCTGTCAAGGTAATTTAATTACATAAACAACTGAAAATCTTACACTTTCTTTAAATCCGGTAAGATTGCCTTGAATTCGTTTCCCTTGAGGAAATTTACAGCAGTTTCCTTCTGTAAGATATCCTTAAAACTATTATTACTGAGATTACTGCTTGGTTCGCAATTGTTTGCAGTTTTTTGTGACGCGTGACTATTTTTATTGCTTGCAATCTCACCACACGTCTTTTCTCACTTTCTCTCTTTTCACGTCTCGATCCCTATAAAATAACATCGTGGTTTGCAATCGC